AGTTTTCCCAGTAAAGAAGTTAGTTAGAGTTACCGTGACCAAATTTATCTTTCATGTTATTGATATCCGTTTTGTTACTGGTTTCATTGTCTTTAGATCGGCCTCTGCAAGATAGCTTTCGTCTCACAGGCGTTCAGGGTTACTTTTTGATGCGGTGATTTTGCTGTGAACCTAGATATATTACTAATGGGGGAAAAATCATTCATTTTGCCGGATTTTTGTAATAGTACGTCAACATTTGATCCATGTGTCTCCTTCTGATAGATAGTCGACCACATCTTCTTACTCCGTCATGTTTTAGAGCAATATCATATCTACGAATGAATCACAATCTTAGTATTTCGCAACTTCAAGGGTGCATTGAAATATGTCAGCTGTCCAACAGAGTATTCCCCAGAAGCTTTTGAACAAAATTCGATTCCCTGGTTCACTTTCTTCTTTGCATGTGTTGATGTATACTGGGATCTCCAAACGTTTCCTTACGAAAAGGGGCTTTCGGTAAGGAAACCACTCTCTACAATGTCGTTCAGATTTGTCCCTGTTGTGATAAAGAGGTCAACTTTGGAAGGTCTTCAAAGACCCTCTGTTGAAATCGTAGCTGGTGAGAACGGTGTCGATCTGGAGAACGCGGACGACATTGTCCTAATCTTTGAGGGCGAACGTGAAGCACAAATACTGTTGGATATCAAGTAGGACAAAGGCTCAATCACTAGTTAAAATAATCTGTTGGCTTGTTCGTTGAGCTGTGCAATTTGGTTGGAAACGTTTCGCAATTATTCGAGGTGACTTCATCACTGCATTTTGAGTGGAAACGCGTTGAGGTTGGAAATGTCTGATTGTTGCCAGTGCATCGTGTCTGCTCACCTAGATCGGCAGTGACCGCTCATGGCCCCTTGCAAGAACAAGAATGTACAACACACCCCGAAACCAGACCAACCTTCTAAGGATGGTGCATTCGAAGACAGGTGATCAATCTTACCCCAACAACCATATCTGGTGGATCGTTCCTTGAATGGAAGCTCTCCAAGCACCTAACAGATTGTGAATGTGGTCCTTGTAAAAAAAAACCTGGCTCTGTTTCTCTCGGTCACGAAGAACAGATTACCACTCGAAATCAATCAGTCGAATCAATCAATCGTCAAACGATTAAACGAAACCTGTCACTTTTAACTGAACAGCATTCATCACTTCCAAGTCATTCGTGAAGCAATTACTTCGCGATAAGTGATGGTCATTCGATACTGTTAGGGAAACCGATCACATTTTCGTGGTTAAAGACTTGTGACTTACAAGTAGTAGCGTTGTTCACCAATGAGCAGTTTCACCTGGTCTTAAGTGAGCTTTTTCTTTGGGAAGCAGCGTAATTGAATAAGTGTGATACAACTTGTAGGTGCATTCAAACGAATACTCGTGGAAGCTGCCACCTTCTATGCAGGTTTGGCAAATCCCACCCGTTCCTTGTCGACTTCGAATACGGTAGAATAATGGCGGAAGAATGACATTCCCAGGAGCACGTCAGCACGGAAGTTTGGTGTTGTAGCCTGAATCGTTGCCCAGCAAAAGTTTGGTGACACCTGGTGAGGGAAGAAAACAAGTCATCCTGAAGAAACTCAATAGTCCCGATGGAATCCGCTTGAACGATGAGATATGCTTTGCACAAAATATCAGGATTCAAAAGGACGTTCTTGTTGGTTTTGAGGTAGATTTCAGGCACACACACACACTGCTTGAATGCGTATTCACAGAATGCAACACGGTTCAAAATATCACCTCAAGAGCATGGAAACACGTAATCGGGAACCCCCTGACAACTGGAAATGCATGCGATTATTCGTCTTCGGTTCACAACTGATAATGATGGGCTCGTGAGTGCGAACCCGTAAACATGGCAATTTACTCTGGCTTTCCCGCCAGAGGATGATCACTTCATTGGAATGAGACAAAGTCCGCACCTCGTAAACTCATTCCTAGTGGTTCTTGAATAAAGTTTCCAGTATTCCAACATTGATTGAAAGTTCCTGGCAGCTGAAAGCAATGTCAGCTATCGGTTTTTTATAGCCTTGATCTAAGCAATCATACGCTTGGGGATTAGGGCTCTCTGTACCACGACTGACGCATAAATGCATCCATCCGTTCTGCCCCTGTTATCCAAGAATGAGTACTAGGTTCGCTTAATAAACCATTAGTAGTTCATACCCTCGGATTGTGCTGAAAATGATGCGAATCTAATAGAATTTAATGCTGCGATATCACAAAATGTTGCTGCACTGTCGAGTTTCCATGTTAGGTTGACCAAAAGCCGCTCCAAAACTTATTTAGCCTAAGTAGGTAACCTACGGCACTGCTTTGAAACTGATTAATTCTGAAAAGAGAAAAGGATCTAATGTTGCGATTTCCACTGCGAAGGCATTTCAGTCGCATACTGTCACATACACCTGACGTGTGGTGTAAACTGAAACGCTAAAGCGTGCTCAGACTTTCAAGGGTCGGGTCACGAGTGAACTCTTTCACGTGAAGCGGTCTATTGAACTTTTCAATGAGTAACTGTAATCTGAATGTTCATACGCAAAAACATCCCAACTTTAACTATTTTCAAATTAATTGCTGAGGTTCACTTTTTGTCTTGATCAAGTGACTTAATACAAGTGATTTAATGCACTACTCATAAGGTTGCTGAAAATTCGTCGACAGCCCACGACCGGTTTCGCCCTTCTTGTGGTTCATCAGGTAGCCGCGGTTCCCGAATTTCCGTCAACCTTTTGTTCTACTTGAACCCGAATTGCACGAAACTAGTGAAGTACACTCATTTGCAAACGAATTTGGGTTAGCGAGAGACTCACCTGGAACCCAGCTAAATCACTCTTCTATGGTGTCTCCAAGCATGTGCTGTATCAAGCCGCCCCATGCTTCAGTTGGTATGATATTCGAGATACCGCGATACATTTTATGAATGCAACATACTACTCACCATTGACGATGTCATCTCGATTGGTGATGAAACGTTTCCAGTGCTGCCGTAAAATTGAGCACCTTGAGAATGTGTACGCAGCGTATTAAACGCTAATAAAAGGTTTCTGAACTATGCAAAGTTGACTACCAGACTTTATGTGCGGGGATGATCAATTCCATCATTAATATCATCAACAACGTAACATCAGTGTTCAACACTGATGTAGGTTCCTGCCGTAGACTGATGGTTGACTCAAACTGTTGCATTTATTGACACCTCGGCCGCCCTTTTTGGTCAGTTGCTCCAGAATAGCAACCTACCCCCGCTTCACGTTTGCGTTTAGTGCATGTGTATGAACTGGCGTTTGTTGGTCCCTACCACTTCACTCATTTAGTCTTGAGGTCATCCAGCCATTTTTGCCCAAATTCAAGCACGTGAAACTGTCTCACGCGGGAGCCTGTTCACTCATTTGGCTCGTACCTTTATAGTCCAACTGGACCGTTTGTCTTGGACGAATATCACCTGTCGAGATTCGTATATTTTGTGAATTGATGCCTTACGTTAACACTAACGTACAGAAACCCAGCTCCACCTTTGTTTTGCCTTCCCGGAGGTTCTGACATTACGCGTCACTCGAAGATACCTTTTACCATTACACAAGATATATCATAGATTTCCACAGTTTGCAATCATAGTATGAAGGATGGATTATCCAGACTGCAAAAGTTGTACCAGCCGGAAAATCATGCCGCTGTGGGATTTCAGAAAGAGAGGAATGATTATGGTAGTTCAGAAAACCAGTTATTCAAAAAGAAAACATGGCCGAACGCCCACGTGTTCAAACTGCTAGCTGAGTGGTCACCGGTACAAAACCCATTGGAAATTCGTGCGACGCGCACTGCTGAAGAGTCCCAACAGCGGCGAAAAAACTATGCATAGCTTCTTGAATTTTCAACAATGTGCTTCATTTACATGACGTAAAATCAAACCACAGTCGCATTGGAAATGTTCGTCGAGTTATCACATAATTCGATGAATCTTAAAAACTAGGTAGAGAGTTTAACCTGAAAGGGTTTCGTCAAGGAAGTGAAGTTAATCTGTAAGGAAAGGCTGAAAGGTACTGTGCGGTTGCATCATCGTCACATGAAATCATCATCAGGGCGCATCTCACGAACTCCAGTGAGATCCAGATCCGCGACACCCCAGCATTAGCTATAGGCTATGCCATTTGGTAACATGCAAGTGATCAGCAGTGAGAATGTCTAACCTAGACAAATTACGATCCTAATCATGGTTTCCTAGTGTAACAAATTATGCTTCTATGAATGTCGGGTTAATGCAAAGTGTACGTATGTATTGTTCGAAATTACTGCATATTACATGCCTTGTGATTCCATCTAACTTTAAATTAGCACTTGATAGAGGTAGATCGTTTCGCTCCGAACACCTCCCCCAAATGATTAAATGGTCAGCTTGTTTCTTCACAAAGTTGGACAGTAACTTTCAAGAACCGCCGGATCCCGTTTACGCATGTTCATGATTCAACTAGCAATCCGAAGATACTTCTTGATCGATAAGGTGAGTCATCTGAACATATGTTATCACTTATGAAATCCGAGCAGAACCTTCATATTAATTGAGTGTGGTATACAAAGTTACGCATCCGCTCCCTGATTGGCCCATTTGAACAGCCAGTCATAAAATCTCATATAGCAAAGCACGATTTCCAATAGATTCTAGCCAAAAAACCACGCGTCCATACAAATACCTTGTTTGTACGATAGTTCGTTCGTACAGCATTTCGCCGTAATGTTTCGGTTGATCGTGATGAACGTAATGTACTTGGTCCTAATCGGATCGAGTAGTGCCAGGTGAGCACAGGTCATTCTTTATCGAGTGGGGCACTGATGGTTTCAGTGTATCGATGAATGCCTCATCGTTGCGACGATGCAAAAGAGGAAACGGTGCCAAGTCCACAACTGAGGTGACACTTTTTGGCTTTGATGTGGGTTGCCATTACATTGGCTAAAATTCCTCCCTACCGCATTAGAATAATATTGGATATTATGGTATAGTGGCAATCGGACATCCCCCGCAATATTTCAAACTGGTTTTTGACACTGGATCACCAAACATCTGGGTTGGCAGTGAACAACTGGCACAGCATCTACTTATGTCCGAAAGTTCATATTACCCCAGCGAATCAGTAACGTTCATTGACAAAAAGAAGACATATCACGCAGTATTCGGGAATTACGTTGCAACTGGTCGCATCGTATCGGACATCGTACGGGTAAGCGAGATATGTTCTGCTCCATCCACTTCAATTTTAGTTCCACGGTCATCAGTTTCGCACGGACTACGGTCTGGTCGATAACGTGCAAGGTTACGTCGATCAGCTCCTTACGATTGATGGGCTCTATGGCCTTATGCTCAAACCAACTCATGATGAGATCAAATCAACTCCATTGGATGAAATGTTTTCGCAAGGACTGATTTCGCGACGGATGTTTGCTTTCGTCTTTTCCTTGTAAGTGACCAAAAATCATTCCATAAAACGCAGCAAACATTGCTACAGTTAATCTAGTTTCAGTTAGGACCAATTTGATTGGAAAGGGACTGGTTGTTTGAAAATATTGATCGAGTTATGTAAAGCCCTCCAAGACTCCGCTGGAGGGATACACTGCTCTCTGAAGCAGTAACACACGTTCTGTTGTCCATGAATAACTCAGTGTCAGAGGCGTGATATCAAATATAATATGGCCCGGCCTCGTGAGAAAGAACACCAGATTGCCTTACTGTAATGTCCTGCCAACCGAAGAACCAGTTGGGCGTGACCACAGCGCCACTGTCAGCAGTTTCTTGTCTGAACATATCGTTCGGAGAAACGCTGAGTGATTGAAATCAGTAAAATGTAACGATATTAGATGGTTCTGAACTAGTAAACTCGGTTGCATCCTCCGACAGTATGCCATGGAACGGTAAATTAGTTTGAACTTCATTAGCTTTACTTTGACTGTGTGTAGGTTGAAAAGTGAGTCCCTCCTTTCAAAATCTCCCCCGTCAATGAAATGGATTTTTCTGCAAGTGATCTTGTCCCTAGAACGATTTGAAATGACAGAGGATTCTAGAATCCAGTATGCTTTGTTAAATGTTTTGCATTACTTCCATTTGTGATTCGGAAATTTCTAGCAACTCGAATTGGTCGCTAGGTAATGTGCGCATCGTGTTTATCTGAGCATTCCCCAGAGTTTCTTGGAATTGGTCGAAAAGAAACCCCATCATGAACTGTCACAGCAAATGACAGTTATTCCGAAATAATTAACTTACTATTCAGTTGTTGTCATTTATTCTGCTTACTGAGCAGACCTGCAAAGCATTGTTAGATGATATTAGAATTCGGATTGTTTCCCACTACTACTGGTGAGTAATCTTTAGATTGACCACGAAAATTTCCTTCGAGTGTACAAAATTTGCTTCAGCATTACATTTTGCAATATAACAGTGCAGGAACTGTAGAGGACAGCTATTCTCTAGTGGCGATCAGACAGCGAACAAAATACAACCAGGGAAGTTTACGCATTTCGGAAACAGGGTCGAAATATTCCCTACCTACTGAGAATCCGCGGAAGAGCAAGCGACTTAGGCAGCGCGCGCAAAGTGGCAGTATTATGAATCGATGAGGCCACGATGCAACCGAAGAAGGGGGAAGTCAGGCTAGAGAAGCGAAACTGCCAAAAATAGAAATCACCGGCACGGCAAGTCAAACTCGAGAAAGACCCCAATGCATCCTAAATCATAAACGAATTAATCTGAAAAGGGCCTTAATACCGTGAGCAGCTCACCAAAAACTGCGTGCTTTTGGGATCAGATCGATGACCAGATTGTATAAACCCGTGTAGAAATGAGACTATGAACGCGGCAAAATTCCCTTCAGTATGGGTAACTGATATCAGAAATGCTCTATGATATTTTACGCTGAAATGTTTTTGACACGCACGAAACGGTCACTACTTGCAAGTTGTGATCAGTGCGTGGAAGAGCACACCGAATAATCGTGATACTACCTCAGCTGTCTGAAGTTACCCATTGAGGAGTCGTGGTCAATTAAACAGAAGATAACTAAGCACGCAAATTTTCTGAAGATCAGGGTCGCAGATGGCCAAGGCTTGAGTTTTCGACGAAACATTC